AGAAAACTGAGGCTCATGCCCTACCATCAGGCCTACTTTTCAAGCCCAAGCCCGGCCCATCTAGTCAAAAGCCCTCAAAAGCCCTTAGGGCTTAGGGCCGTGGGCCAGGCCTCTTCCTTAAAATGCCAATATGCCAAGCCCAAGCCCGTCCAGGCCTTGCTGGTGGGCTCAAAACTTAGGCCCAAGCCCGGCCCACGAGCAAGCCCATCGGGCCTAGGCCCTGGATTTTAGGGCCGGGCCTGGGTGGGCTGACAGGGCCGAGCCTGAGATGGCCGGGACTAGGCGAGCGCGGCGTTGGGGGGGGGCGCCCGAGACGGTGAGATGCAGGGGAACTGTGCAAGCACGTGATGCGTGAGGACGAAGATCTCTAGGACGAACCTTTTTTTTTGCTAGATCCAACGGCCAGGGCTAGTGGGATCCTGTTGGTGCAATACCTGCCTACCTTGTGTTTTGGAGATTGTTGACAGAAACAGGTATGGACTAATTTGTTTGCTAGTGCACACAGAGAGAAAAGTCCATACACAACCGAAGAGAATGCTGTCTCCGGTGCTGAGTTCGAGGAATTTCATCGAAGCATATCTGCGTTGCAGAGAAGAACAAGCTATATCTGTTGAAGTAATAGAGTCGAGAAGATTAATGTGAAGAAATCGACCCCTCGAAAGTTTACTGCTGAATCGAACCTTTTGTTTCAATACTGTCGTCTGAAGAAACTGACCGTTGTGATTGAAGTCGAAGATAAAGTGAAGACGCAGCGTTCATTTTGTTTTTCTTCTTTCAGTCTGTCGAGTCATAGGACCGCCATACTATTAAGAGGGGTATAGGTTCTCGATGCTTAGATCAGCTGTGATGCTTAGCCACAACCTATGAAAGATGCGAGAGAAATCTCTTTGTGTTCCGAGTAAATACTTGCCAGCAAGAGAGTGTGATCTTCTTCGCTGTGAGAGATTTACCTCGGGCCGAGGAATTAGCATTTCTTGCTCCGCAAGAAATGTTACCATTGTGCTCAAATCCGACCATTGGAATCGTGTTGTTAGGCCACTGGCTGAGGCCGATGTCCAATTTGGTCATTTCCCATCTGAGAAGGTTGCAACTATAAATAGCCACCCCGCTCCAATGTTATTCGTTGGCTGCTCCGGTTGAGATTTCTGAGAAGATTGATTTGAGCAACCCCTCCCCGAGTGATTTGAATTTGAGATCCACCGAGAGAAAACCAAGAGCCCAAACTTAGACAGTGGTTTAGCATCACAATAGTTCTGAGTGAGAGTTCTTGTACCTATTACTCTTGAGAGCTGCGCACTCTCTAGATGGATAGGTTTGACTTTGAGTGTTGAAGAATTGTTGTCTTCACCGAGTCTGATCTTCAGCAACCAAGAGTGATTGTGGTTCGTGAAGGTCAACCAAAGGTTTGGAGATCGCCGACAAGGATCTACCACGAGTGAAATCAACCTGAGTCTGATCAGCTCCGCATTGAAGGAGAATAGGGTGAAGAGAGTTTATCTTCCGTGTTAAATCACAGCCCCTCCAACCAGACGTAGCCCTTTGGCAGAAGGGTGAACTGGTCTACCAAATCTCTTGTCGCCATCGAGCACCACTGGTTAAATCTACTCTAGTGCATTTCATTCAGTAGTTTTCATTCGTGCTGTGTGCCGACGGTTTACCCGATCGTTTATTTACCCTCATCATGTGTATCTGTGCTTACTCCTATCTTAATCCTTGTATATTTTCCTTCGTAGCCATCTAAACCTCTGTCTTACTTGTGTAACCTCCATATGTCAGTTTCAGCTATGCTATGTCTCGTTCTGTTACATCTGTTTGCTTGTTGTATAACCCTCATTGTAGTTATACCTATAATCTATCAAGCTCGCTCTGTTGTAAATGTTTTCCTCGATGAATATGTCTTTGACAAAGAAAATTGATTCAGCGCATTTCTCTCGATACTCTATTCCACTGTTGTGTTTGGGTTAAGTTTCAAAGCTTTCGAAAGAAAAATTGATTCTCTCATTCATCCCCCCCTAGTCGATATACTCTCGGTCCTAACAGATCCGACGGCTAGCGCGTGACCGGCCAAGCTGGCGTGTCGGTGCCTATCGGTCGTCCCAAAAGGGCTATTGCTTCTTGTGGTGCGTTATGAAAATTGCCCCCAAAGTTGCAAAATATTACCCATCAATGCCCACCTATAAGTGATAAAAACCGTTTCACACATAGGAATCCGGTCTGGGCTGGCCCATGCAGTAGGGGCCTCCTATAATGCACTTTGTGTGCTGAGAGAATACGCAACACACCCCTTTCGGCTGGCCCATGTCCAGGCAAATTGTTTTTTAAATTTCGTTTTTTCCTTTTCATTTCTATTTACCTTTTTTCTTCTTTCAATAATTTGGGACTTTATAAAAGTTCCGAAATTTAAAAAATGATAATTTTGTAATAAAATATTTAATAACCATAAAATGTTTGTGTATTATAAAATACTCACGATTTTATAAAAAAAATGTTTGTTTATTCATAAAAATGTTTGAAATTTTGAAAAAATATTCAGGAAATAAAAAATGTTCATAATTTTTTAAAAGTTTCGTGTATTAATAAATGTTAATAAGATTGAAGAAATTTCGCCAATTAAAAAACTGTCATGAATGGAAAAATATTCTAAAAATTCAAAAATTGTTCATGACTTAATAGTTTATTCATTCATAAAATGTTCGCTAATTTAAAAAATGACCAGGCATTTCAAAAATATTAAATAAAAATATATTTTCTGAATTTCAAAAATTGTTCGACCAATTTCCAAAATAATTTTCACCCATTCTAGAAATGTTCACTAGTTCAAGATTTTTTTAAAGAAATACTCACTATTTTTAAGTATTGTTTGCAAATAATATAAAATGTTCAAAAATTTGTAAAAATGTTCATAAATTTGAAAAATGTTCATGATTTCAAATATGTTCATGAGTATAGAAAAATATTCATAATTCATGATGAAGGGTGATAGTGTATATCGGTGATGCAACAAAATGTGATTATGGCTATTTGAGATTATGATTTTTTTTCTCCCGTTATAACGCACGGGACCTTTTGCTACTAGTAAAGGGGCTATTGCTTCTTGCTGTACGTCATGGATATTTTCCCCAAAGTTGTAAAATATTACCCACCAATGCCACATATAAATGGATTCTAAAAATAATGCAACCTATAAGTGATAAAAAAAACTTTCACACATGGGTATCCCCCGCCTGGGCCGGCCCATGTAGTAGGGACCTCCTATACTGCGCCCTGCATGCTAGGAGAAGATGCAGCGCGCCTGTTTGTTTGTTTTTTATTTTTTTCCTTTTCCTTTCCATTTTCTTTTTTCTACTTTTAAAAATTTAGGACTTAAAAAAGGTTCCAAAATTAAAAAATGCGAATTTTGAAATAAAATATTAATAAATCAGAACATGTTTGTGGATTCAAAAAATGTTCGTGATTTTATAAAAAATGTTTGATTATTTCAAAATTTTGAAAACAAATGGTCAGGAAATAAAAAATGTTCATGATTTCTTAGAAGGTTGATGTATTAAAAATTGTTAATGAAATTGAACAAAATTTTGCTTATTCATTGTTCATGAATGGAAAAATACCCTAAAAATTAAAAAACTGTTCATGACTTACAAAATAGTCTATCCACTGATTGAAAAAATGATCATGCATTTCAAAAAAATGTTTGTTAAATGATTTTTTTTTCTTGAATTTTAAAATAATCCCACCAATTTCCAAAACAATGTTCTTCAATTCTAGAAATGCTCGCCGACTCAAGAAAATTGTTAAAAAGAATGTTCACAATCTTTAAGAAATGTTTGCAAATAGTTTTAAAATGTTCATGAATTGAAAAAAATGTTCTTGATTTTGGAAAATGTTTGAAAATTTGTAAAAGTATTCATGAATTTGAAAAATGTTAACGATTTCAAATATGTTCATGAGTTTAAAAAATTGTTTATGGTTTCACAACATTGTGAGTGATAGTGTATCTCGGTCATGTAGCAAAACATGATCATGGCCATTGAAGATTATGATCTCTTTTCTCCCGTTGCAATGCACGGGCTCTTTTGCTAGTAAGAAGTAAAAGCTCAACAGAGGGAGAATTCCACCCCCGTTGATTCCTATAATTGAAAAAGAGGTGCGTACCTTAACAAACCAGTTACCAATCCGAGCACCGAGCAGCACAAATATAGGAGAATTCTCTCCCGTTGATTCCTCTATAAAAGAAAAAAAAAGGTACATCTTCCATAGGTCCGCGAAGAGTATCATATGCTTCTTAAGTACCCCCTCCATTCACTTTTATAAGATGTTCCGTATATTTCAATATAATCTACATACAAAATGAAATGAGTGAATAAATACGTACAATTTATAATAGTGAACGGAGGGAGTAATAAATAGTCAAGCAGGAAACCAAGCAACCGGTCAACCGAAAAGAGTTGACAGAAACTTATCATATAGGATTAATTTTCCACTTACATATTCCCTCCGTCCCATAATATAAGAGCGTTTTTTACACTAGACTACGTTCTTATATTATGGGAGAAATGGCAAGTCCGTATGTGACAAAGGATCACGTGCAAACAGAAAGTGCAAACAGAAATATCAAGCACAGCCGCTTTGTGCTTTCTGCAGCATGCCGTCCAGTAATTCATGTCCTAGATAATTTGGCTTGCATCTATTACCAGGCAGAGGCAACCTAGCTAAAAATGCACACTGCATCTTTCGTCTTTGTATTTGCACGTTCAGCAGCTTGAAAATGTCAGAACAACACTTGTGCACTGAGCTGAACACGGTTATAGCATTTGCGTCTGATGAAACCTTCAGTTAAAAACAGAAATTGAAACCTTCTACACATAAGCAACAGTTAAGCATATACAGTACAATACAAAATGAGGACACCAATTATTTGGATGTACAGCAACGGCGTCAAGGCTGGTGACTCTGAACTTCATGCAGGGTAGTATGGTAGGAGCCAGCAGTTTTACTGGATCTCACATCAGAGGCCCAGACGTTGGGTTGGGAAACAAAGAAAGCCCAGTCCTCTCATCATGGAAATGACTTCCCAGGTTAGCTGAGTTGTTGGCGTTCAGGCCGGGATTCGACATGTCCATACAATCACTGAATGGGTCGAAGAAGTCTGAGTACCTCACATTGGCTACCGGTATCTCTGGCAGAGAGTTGAAAATCCCATCGAACATCTCGTAATTCTCATCAGCTTGTGGCACAAAGGCAGAGATGTCAGCTGGTGGTGGGATTAGAGACACATAGTCATCAACTTCTGGAATTGGCAGAATGGAAGAGATATGCTCGTGGAATTGTGGCAAAGAAGCAACTAGATCATCTCCCGCCTTCTTTGCTCGGATGACCTTTGCATGACACAAAGCAGCATACAGTAAGCAACTATCGACTGCGTGCCAAAATGACTAAAATGCTTAAATAACCAGGAAGAAAGATTAAGTACAAATCGGTTTTTGTCATCGTCTTTGTATATCATGATGAAGTCTCCCACTCGAAGGTTATGGGTTCGGACATAATCCCCTGGGATGTTTAAGGGAGGGAGAAAAATGTAAGAACTTGATCCACAAGTGCAACAGAATAAACATGATGAAAATAAAGGTATTCACCAGTATTCTCAAGTACATACATCCTGCTCTTGTTGTTCGGCCAGTATCTGTACGGAGATAATAAACTGTGTCATTGTAGTGGATATGCTAGACCAAATTAAACATAAATGCAGGGATGTCACTGGAACTAAGAACATTCGTAACATGATTCATATTCACATGTCATACTTCTGATGGTTTTAGAGAAAACTACCTTATCTGATACAATTCATTTCTTGTTACACATGGCAGAGTATTAAAATAAATTACCACCATCATAATCATGCCATCATGCTTTTTTCACAGGAATTTCGTCAATTTTATGGCTGAGATTGTAAAAGTGAGGTACAACAAAGATCATATGGGTACTGTAGCTCATAGCAGCAAACATTAACGCAAAAAAGAAAAACAATTTGTCCAACCTGTACTTGAATGTCCACAGTTGCGCATTTAGCAAATCATGCATGCGTAGACTTCTGCCATCCTTTGATGTCAGAATTGGGAGGTAAGCCTCCGATTCTTTCTGTGCAAAGAGTGTCGAAGACAAGTGTCAACAGTTAGAGAGCATGGACTATGATGGTAAAATGAAGTGTGTAAAAGCTGTTTAAATAAGAACTCACCTTCGGGAGAACAATTCTCCCAAGCTGGCTTATGTCACTATTACGGAGCTCCTTCTGCAGAATAACTCGCAACCCAGCCACTTGATGCTACACAAACATTGTAGAATCTTTTAATACAATGCACTAGTTTGATTAACACTGTTTCCTTTTCTGAAAAAAAATACTTCCTATATGTTTTGCATAAATCTTACATTTGGATCTAGAGCAACTCTATTTAAATCCAGCTCATTTACCTATCACAAAAATACGAATTCATTTAGGGAGCAGGTAGAAAAAATATTAAGTACCACATTAGATGTGTCTATTTCTAAGTTGAAACGGAAATTCTTATTTCTAAGTCAATGATCCTGAGCATTGATGCTTCAACTAACGGAAAATAAATAGCTGCAAATTGTAGATTGTGTACAACTTAGTCAACGTAGAAATGATTATCTTAAGCTGGTGACAAATGTGTAAATAGCAAGTGTCTTAAGTTGTACTACAAATGCCCTCTTACACCAGTTCTTTCCATCATAGTAATAGAAATGATGCTACGTTCACAAAGTTTCTCGCCTCTTAAACAGCTTAAGAACAGCGCAGATAATTTTCATAGCTTCTGTTTAAAATAATCCCTCCGTCCCAAAATAAGTGTTTCAACTTTGTACTAGCTCTAGTATAAATTTGTACTAAGCTCAAGACACTTATTTTGAGTATAAGATAAATCACCCTACAAAGTCCAAATCAAACATGAAAACATAACTAGCACCTGGAAATTGCATTAAGCTCAAAAGAAGTTACTTGGGGCCATTAAGGTTCAAGAACCCCAGTCCCAAGAAACACTGCTACATTCATACCAGATGATCTACCAGTCCTTCCAGTCAGCACACTGGTACACAAGTACACATAATGTATCAGCTAGTATATACTGCCTGACATAATTACCGTTGTGGCCCATGCCCCATCTATGGAAAAAAAGCCAAAAGATTCATTGAAATGAAAAATTCAATTAACATGTGCTGCTATTTCCTGCGATTATTGTGCTGCAGTAAGCTACTAGAGAAAGCACATGTATGGACAATTCCTACAAACTTTGCAGCGCCTCCTGGAAATAGCAATAACACGACATTTGTGGACACAGTAAATGTGCAATGCACATAACAACATTGACAAAAGAAAGTGAGTATGTGAAGGACTAAATCACGCACTTGTAGCTAATACTTAGTGTGCACTGCTGTAATATATATAACCACGCAAGAATTCTTGTTTTTTCTTTTCAAAAAGAGGGGAAAGACCCTCGGCGTCTGCACTGAGTGATGCACACAGTCAGGCAAGTGCTCTTGTTACCCTTGCACATAACTACACTGACATCATGATAATGCGAACCGCTAAGTGTTCTTGTTACACTGAAACTGCAAGATGGGACCTACAGGACATATTCTATCCATGTGCCACATGAGACACGACAGAACATGAGTTCCCAAATCTTACTCTGATTATTAGTTCCCAAACATGGATAATTAGTACTATATGATGAGTTATTGACTGGCCAAAACTAGTACCAGTGAACGGACCATCGACGTCGTAGATCCGACAGAGAAGTACAATAATAACCCCTTACCATAACCTGTTGCCTAGCACTAACGACAACAATCGAGCAAAAAAAAATCAAATGATCACATTCACACCTAAGCACACACCCGTACGCTAGGTCGGTGAAATCTGATCGTGGAATTCAAAAGAAGACCTGCAAAGATCCCCTAGACTCGCAACAATGCACCAATCAAATCGGCAATCGGGCAGATCAGAGCCCCCAATCAACCACAAACGTCAACACCTAGAGGCGCCTCGATCGCTGTCCATCAATCAAAACTCAAAATCCGGGACCAGGAGGAGGAAGGAACGAACGAACGATCGCCCTCCTCTTGCCCCTGGGCCTCCAGCCCGCCACCACGGCCCACCACCTCCTCGGAGATCCCATATATACGGAGGATCAACCCCACCTACACACAGTAGGACGTGGCCATGAATTCCGAGGCACTCACTGGTCGGATCGCCGGCATCCACCGGACGCCGCCGCGGGGCCCGCGGCCGCCGGACCTCCGCTTCCGGGTGACCAGCTGCGGCCGGTACTCGCCGATTCCGTCGCCGGAGGAGGAGGAGGTGGTGGATGCGGAGGGGGAGCGGCGCTTGCTGCTGCTGCTGCTGCTGCTGATGGCGGCCATGCCGGCGGGCCGGGAGGAGGAGGAGGAGGAGGAGGTGAAGGCGGAGGATGCGGCGGCTAGGGTTGGGGCAGCGCGGGGCACATTTATGGGCGAGATGGGTGGGCGGGCGGAGAATCGGAGACGGGGGCGCGGTGCCAAGTGGCAGGCGAGCTCTGAAATGGGCGCAGGTGGGGAGCCAGCGCCCGACGGGGCGATGCCGAGGGCGCGCGGGCGCGGCCAACCGCGCGGGCGCAAGGTGGCAGGCGCCGGGTGGGAGGCGCGGGGAGGCCGCTCCTGGCGTTTTTTCCGCATGGGGATTCCCCGCGGGGTTCGAGGCGACTGGCTTGGCTCCCTTGTGAGTTTTGAAATCCGGGGGCCGCCTGGTTTGGGTTCCGTGTTTCGCACTCGGCCTTGCGCTTGCGCTTGCCCGTGGTGGTGGTTGGCTCACTCATCACTGCCGCCCCGCCCCCGCGGGAGCTCTGCTCGTTCACTGGTCGTAGGCTGCGGTGGAGCTTGAAGCGTGGAGGAGGTTCGCCCAAAATAGCCCTGTGGGTGAAGACACTCTTTTGTGACATGCACGATGTTAAATGCCCTGTACAAGGCAGGTGCCTCCACCGGTGCTTCACTTTGACCATGTGCTTCCGCGTTGTTTGCTTCCGGCGCCAATCGGTGCTTCGGGCTTCCCTTGATAATCTCTTGCATGTGTCAATTTGGCCTAAGCACCTGCACGGCATTGAAACTCCCCTCTCATTGGGGTTCTCTCTCCTCCCCATGGTGCTTGTCACCCCTGTGGAGATTTCCAACCCCCCCCCCCTACCATGTCCAATCGCCACGGCTAGCCAGGATCTCTGATCCACGGCTTGAGCGGTCAAGGGGGAAGGATTTTAGGGTTCACCCGTCTGCGGAACACAAGTTTTTCACGAAAGAGATAAGATGAGTGGCTCGGGCTCAGGCTCGGCCGAGGGCAATCTTGTGGCGATGACGAAGGAGCTTGGACTTAAGGAAGATGTCCTGGTTGATGGAGTTGTGGAAGACGATGACGATCTGCCAGAAGAAGCAACCCGGTGGATGGCGGTCACGCGTGTACACACAGACATACCTTATAGCCAATATTGGTTTTACAGGAATATGAGGGTTGCTTGGGATCTGGCGCATGAGGTAAAGATTCGACCACTCAACAACGACCTTTATGTGATGTAGTTTTCATGCCTCGATGACTGGGAACGTGTGATGGATGAAGGGCCCTGGAAGTTCAAGGGGAAAGTAGTGGTGATTTCGTCGTATGATGGTTTCAGTAGACCGTTAACAATTGCATTGGACATGGTAGACATGTGGATCCAGATACATGATATACCAGATGGTTTCTTCCACTTGATCAACTTCCTTGCTGCAAGCCTGCAACAATAGGGGGATTCATCTATGCCGAGCCAAAAGCTTAGGACTTTGAGGGCAACTTTTTCAGAGTTCGCGTGAAGGTAGATGTCACAAAACACCTAAAGAATGTCGTCTCACTCGTTGTCAAGAAGAAGCGTGAAATTTTCAGAGTTAAATACGAGAGGGCGGGCCCCCCAGTGGGGTCCCGCCTAGCGCAATGAGCCTTCTCTGCTGGAACTGCCGCGGGGCTAGTAAACCCACGATAGTTCGTGAGCTTCATGACTTGACAAAGCATCCTGCCCCCTCTATCGTGTGTATTCTCAAAACCCAAACAGAGGGCTCCCCATGCGGAGAGTCTAGATGGTATTTTAGGTTTTAATAAAAGCTATGTTGTCAGTAGCTCTGAGTGGTGGGAATTTTTTGTAATGATTCAGTAAAGGTGGAAGTTATTGGCTACTGTGAGTACCACATTGATGTGACCATTGATGATTTTGGTGATAGTAAAAGCAGAGCAACCATTATTGCATGAATACCTAACAGTGGTGGGCGGAAAAAGTCCAGCAGTGGCGGGCAAGACTCTCAGGGGCGCTCGCCAATGACCTCCCGCCACTGCTAACACGACATCAGTTGCGGGTGAATTGTAGTGCCCGCCACAACTATTGTAGCTAGCCATTGTTGCACTCCTCTCTGTCCGCCACTGCTGCGCATAGCAGCAGTGGCTGGCGCTTTTGGCGCCTGCCACTGGTAGTGATCTAGGCCTATAGAAGAATTGTTGTCGCCACAGCGTTTTTTTGCTTGCCGTGGCAGCATTTTAATGACGCGGTTGACGTATTTTGCACTTGGCCATCACATTGCATTACATCTATAGAATGTTGTCTCATGATTCAAACAATCCTCCACATGCATATATCATATTATAACGTCGATGCAATAATTATGAGTATTAGTGAGGCAAACATATAGTATAAGAAGTGCGACGTAACAAACAAACATGCATGTCTCGACACATAATGAATAGTTTCACAACTATTTTGAAGCAGTGTCTCTACCGACTTGGCTAGTCGCTGGCAATCGATGACCGCAATATATCTTTGACTCAGTGAAGTCGTTCTTCATATGGCTATGGCTAGCAGTGGAACTTCCCATCCTCATTTACAACCTCCTTGTCGATGATTTTGGCGAACACCTTTTGGAGCTACTCATGCTCTCTTAATTATTCCCATGTGTCTATGTCCCTCTTCATCTCCTCAGACCACTTGATGATCTGACTATGATTTTGCAAATATTGGCTTTTCTTTCAAAAGTCATCCATGATGGCCATGACACAGTAGCCAAACCTATCACTGGTGTAGAGGCCTGCTATACAAACGGTTTTCAACCCCTTTCCACGACGGCACTTGGAACCGTCGTCAAGTGAGTGTGGGCGATAGGGGGTCCTTCCCACATGATCCAGAAATCGTCGGGGATAGGCCCTCCTCGCACACAAAATGAGCTCGTGTGCGATCTGGCGAGGCATCGAAACACAATCGTGTCCATTCGTATGTACATCCCACACGGTGAATCCTAGGAAAACATTTCCGTTCGTATGTATATCACACACAGTTTTTGGTGTGGAAACGTTTGTGCAAAGTGGCCTAACGCAAACAGTTCTCTGCCGGAAACCATGTGTGATTGCTAATTGATCGAACACGCCTACTTTTTAGGAACCGTGTGGGTTGTTTGAGTTCATCGCCCACGATGTTGTCTGAGTAACCGTCTGTAATAGAAAACCCCAATAAGTAGCGTAATTAGCCTATTATTGATAATCCATGTAGTAATCAAATTGATATTTCTTATAAAACACACTAGATATTTCATATCTGTATAACGACAACCAATATTTCATAATCGAATTACATCAGATAGCTTCGGCACTCAATTACGCTATTACACAACATCAGCAAGTTTCGCATGCAACATCAAAAACCTTTGGAAAGTAGCATCATACACGATAAATAGATCGATGAATCTCATCTGGGAAACTCCAGAAGCGGAAGGAAAATATTGAGCCTTTAGTGATGTTGAATGTCCTTGCAATTTTAGGCCAGTGGCTATGGATAATTGCCCGCCCAACCTTCGTCCTCTTTAGGAAGACTTCAATATTGTACCGTGGGTGTTGAATGAATACCTTCCTCGCCTCTTGACCATGCAGGTGGTTTGAGAGGTAACCATCGGTGAACTGCTTTGAAAAGTACTGAAAATAAAGATATGCATAAATCGCTGTTATAAATTTTGAAATTGCGCAAGGGGTAAAAACAAGGTAAAAGAGTTAGTACCATCCTATAGTTGACTAATGTCTTCTTCATTGTGCAAACAAAGATCTTGCTGTTATTCGTCCCAACTTTCTTCATCCTAACAATCTTTCTGAGTTTATTGACTTGACTTATATTCATGGACATCTCATTTCCCCATATGCAAAATGGGTCGAACAATGGGTCTAAGCCTCTGACAGCAGGACCTACATGTGCAAGACCAAATTGTAAGAAACCTAAATATTAGAATGATTCCTGCAACTGCACAATAATTGCTATTAGAGAAAGGACCATGCATGAGCATACCTCAATGGTAAACCGCAGTGTCTCCCATTGTTTCCCTACAACACACATAAGGAAGATCTTGATCAGGTTAACTGACAGTTGTCATACTATTAGTAGAATATGTATTGAGTACAACCAAATTTGATTTATTTCACATGCATAACAATACAAAATTGTACCCACAACAAATGAAAATCAAATTGCAGAATTCAACGAAACAGTTAAATGGACAGCAGACCAAATGAACCAAAATAGTTAACTGAGCACGACATTGCAGAATAGAAACATGTACTAAAAGATAAGACAGTTAACAAAACAAAGAATGCTTGAGAACAATACTACGAAATGTAGCAATTGTTGGACCAAACTGTTAACTGAACATTACATTTCATAGGACCAAACTATTAACTGAACATCAGATTGCATATTAACATTAGAGAGGACAAATCACTAGAAGGCACTGGCGGTGGCCTCGAGAAAACAACATGAACTCTGTTTTAAAGTAGACAACTGCGTGGCGGTGTGGAGGTGGCCTCGAAGACGAGGTGCTCCTCCAAGATCTGGCGGTCAGCACGCACGGCAGCAATAGCGACCTCGTGCACGTGTGCGAGCGCTATTTGCTTCTCCGTTGCTGGATGCTACTGAGCTCCACGTTATACCGCGTGCAAAATGGCTGTGGGAGGCACTTAATCGGAGGAGGGGGCAGTGATTTCGGCGGAAGGTGTCGCACCGTCGGTCGGGGCATGTGGGACGGGGAAGGAGGAGGATGGTGTGGGTGGGGTGTGGATTACCTAACCATATCGACGAGGCCGCGCAGCAAGAAGAAGGGTGGAGGCCGCACAACAAGAAGAAGGGTCGGCGGTGAGGAGGCCGCGCAGCAAGAAGAAGGGTCACCGAGGAGATGGCGCTGCAAGAAGAAGGGTCGCCGGCAAGGAGGCGACGCTGCAAGAAGAAGAGTAGCTAGAGAGGAAGCGGCACTGCAAGAAGAAGGGTCGCCGGCAAGGAGGCTGGGCTGCCAGTAAGCAGCAGTGAAGGTTTGAACTTGGAAAGCAAGGAGGAATAGTGGAAAGTGGCTTTTGGTAGGAGGGAGGGGGCAGGGAGATAGATATTTCCGCAGTGGCAGAAAAATTTCGCTTGGTGATGCAAGAAACTGGCGTGCAAGTGTGGTTCATGCGGGAGCGATGGACTATAGATGACAAATCTTCCTGCGTAAGCTAGACAAGACGGTGCGCCAAGATATTTTATATCGCACCCCACACGATTCTTTCTAGTAAACTATTTTGTGGTATACCTGATTTTCTCATTATGTTTTGAAAGACAAAATGGTGTTACGAAGGGAAATGATGGTGAAGTGTATGCTAG